GGCGTGTATTGGTTAATGGTAAAAATCTGCTTGGGCTGAAGCTTCAAACGCGGTATGTCATTAAGCGATGTGACATCTCTGTCAAAAGTTATGGCGTTGCCAGATGGGTCCGTCGAATATGGAGTACCCTGTATCCGTGAGGATCCAGAAACGTTTACCAGGAGACGTTCGACACAACTTGGCCTCTCAAGAGAGTTGTTGCAGCGAATTTTGCATAACCTAAGAATGTTTCCATATAAAATTCAACTTGTCCGACTATGCAATTTATTTCCAGAAGAAAACACAAGGGAATTCAAATTTTATTTAATTATGAGTGACGAAGCCCACAGGGGTTCGATAACAAGCCAAACTGCAGGATATGGACAATGGGAAGCCCGAGAATGCTTCATCAGCGACAATTACACCCAGTTAAGTGTACAGAGGTGGTTCCTCAGAGAGGATCATTGGTCCATAAATTATATATATATATATATTATATATATATATATATATATATATATATATATATATATATATATATATATATATATATATATATATATATATATATATATATATATATATATATATATATATATATATATATATATATATATATATATATATATATATATATATATATATATATATATATATATATATATATATATATTTTTTTTTTTTTTTTTTTTTTTTTTTGAATATGAACGAGGTGCCACCATTTTTATCAAATGATCGATAACCCCAAATATGGTTCCAACAGGATGGAGCCGCAGAACACACTGAGAGGGTACAATGGCTCATTTACGCGACATCTTTGGTGAAAGAATAATTTCGTGTAGAAGCAATTTTAATTGGCCTCCTAGTTCCCCGGATTTAACTGATCCGGACAATTATGGTAATAAGCCTAGGGCTACTGTGAAATCAGAAACGAATAATCAAAACGAAATTAACAACATATCATGAATAATGCTGTTGAAAAGAGCACATTTGTGCGAAGCAGAAAATTGCCACTATTTGCGGGATATAAATTTTAATAACTTATCTGAAACTATACCACATAAATTTACAGTATTTAAAAAACCAACAGTTAAAAAAATGTCTTAAGAAAAAGTTATAAGAAATTCACACCACTCCGATATTTCTGGACCACCATGTAGAACACCACGATCAACATTTTTTAATTTTCAATTTTTTTTAATAATACCGAAGAAAATGTGAAGCAATTGATCTTACCGCATGTTAAAAACTCTAAAATCGACTTCGAATTTGGTTTGAAAAATGAAGATCGACCATTGTTTTTTTGCGAAAAGTCCGCCTTAATATTTTAGATTCGCTCCATTCATTCAACGGCAAATTTAGTATCATTTAGTACTTTTCGAGCAATCATAGTACGCATTCCCAAATTCATCTGATTCTCTCAAAACTATATACCAACAGTAGCTACGATATCAACTTTTTTATCATACTTTTCGCGCAGTTATACTACGCATATTCAAAACCACTTCCTCTTCTCACCCTATGCACAAACAGAGACTTTGGAATTAAATTTCAGAATTCCATCCTTATCCCAACAACCAACGGCACATTTTGTGGCATTTTTCGTACGTTCATAGTATGAATTTCTAAAACAACCACCTTCTCCCTACTACAGACACCAACAGTGACATGCATATCAAATTTCAACAATACCCAATATAGTACTACTTAGTACTTTTCGTACAATTCCGAAACCACATCCATATCTTAATTCCAGATACCAACAGAGACCTAAATATCAATGTCATTTCAAGATTTCAGCTCTTTAATAATTCTTTTACCAAATTTAGTGCCATTTAGTACAATTACAGTACGCATTTCCAAAACTATCTTCATCTCTCAACTACTAACACCAACAGTGACATCCATATAAAATTTCAAGATGTTAGCTCTATTCCTTCACCCAATATCAAATTTAGTGCTATTTAGTACATTTCGTACAAAACCACCTTCATATATCAATCCCAAATACCAAAAGGGACCACAATATCAGATTTCGGTATTCCAGATCTTTCCATTCATCCAATACCCTAATTTAGTACCACTCATTACATTTCGTACAAATATAGGACGAATTTCCAGACCAACGCCACATCTAAGACGCAGATACAATCAGTAATCTTAATATCAAATTTCAAAATTGTATATCTATGCCTTCATCTAATATAGCACCATTCTACACATTTCTAAGACCACCACTTTATAACAAACCTACCATCAACAAGAATCGCAATACAAAATTTGATCTTCATCCGCTCACCCAAAGCCAAATTATTCCAAACACCCTTTGGTACATCTATCTCCATCTATATTCCATCACTCACTCTCATTCCAAATTTCAGAATATACTATAATTTCTAATACAAAACATTCAATTTATAACACATTTTAGTTCTTTTAGCCTTATCACACTCCTACACACCAGACTGATCCTAGTGGAAAATTTTAACATTCTATCTTTAGCCGATTCGCCTGGGCCTGGGCGTTGATTCTCAGTCATTTACTGCTCTTTTATATATTTAGAGGAAACCTATATTGTTCATATCGGTTCAGTAGATCCATAACTGTCCATATCGGTTCAGTAGAGAAATAACTGGGTACACTGTTCGTCCCCCAAGAAAGAAATACTCTCTTGTAATAGGGTAAAAGTATACCCTTGGTTTTACTCTGTTTACAAAGATGTAAGCAGAGATGTGCTTCTTTTACTTCTTAGTTTTCTTGCAAAAGAGACAAACCCACCGCTTTCTCGCAGAAAAGTAACCAAACCATATGTTATAGTATTTTCATAAAATTTATACTGGACTGTATTGCGTTGTATACCTATTTTTTGGAAAATCATATTTATACCATGGTACAGGGTAATATGCCTTTGTGCATTTGTTTGTAACATGGAGAAGGAAGAGAGATAAACCCCTAGTTCCTTTGGATAGTCTACATATAATCACATTCTGAGTCGATTTATGCATCCGTCCACCCGTTCGTCTCTCCATGCATTTTTGTGAACAACATTTTATAATCCGGTTTCGATAGAATTTTATTTTTGTTTGACCCAAGGATAAACTATTGAAATTGGAGATAATCGGATCAGATTTGGATATAGCTCTTATAAATATATTTTCGTCATATTTGTCTTTTATTGAGTACAAAATGTATAGTATTAGTCCATATACGATGAAATTTGAAGAATGCAATCCAAAATTGATCTTGGAAGTAATTCCGTTAAATTTAGTGAAAATCGGCTAATATCATCCGATTTGATATTTTGGTGCCTCACAGCAATTATATGAACTCCATAACAACGGAATACGCGAAAAGATATCAAATACAGCTCAGAAAGACATCTGCCAAATTTTATCACGATCCGTTTCTATTTGGATGTATCTCTCTCATATATATCCGATTTCAGGTTTTGTGCAACAGATGGTTAATATCAGCTCAAATAAAGTGATTTTTGCAACATATAACCGAATTTAGCTTAGAAGTAAGTACTTCAAATTTGCTGGAAATCGATTAAGATATGGCAATAGTTACCATATAAAGGGTTGTCCATATTCGACGGACCCATCTGGCAACGCCATAACTTTTGACAGAGATGTCACATCGCTTAATGACATACCGCGTTTGAAGCGTTAGTCCAAGCAGATTTTTACCATGAACCAATACACGCCACGCGAGCGCTCTGAAATAGTTGAAATTTACAAGAAGTCAATTGTGAAAAAATTAAAAAATGTGAGAAGTGCGCCTTCTAAGAACACCATTAAGCGTTTATACGAAAAATTTTCGACTGGTAAGGCTCTTTCTAATCCGAAGAGGCCATATAAAAGTCGACCAAGGCGATCGGCCGAGAATATAGCTGCCGTACGAGCCAGTGTTGAGAGGTCCCCAAAAACATCCGAAAAACGCCGTTTTCAGCAGTTGGGCATGGCTCGGTCCACTTTACAACGGATTATTCGCATTGATTTGCATTTGTTCCCGTACAAAATTCAATATTGCCTGCGGACAAGCCTCGTCGATTGGAATGGGCCCAAAGGTCCGTCGAATATGGGCAACCCTGTATATGTTTCATCCAATTTGTAATATGCACTCATATTTGTAATATGCACTCTACAACAATGGTATGTGGTACCAGGTACCAGCTCAAAAATGAAAAAAGGTATGAAGCTAAAATTTTGCACAGATCAGTTTTTTGTCTGCAGATAGGTCAAGTTCGAAGATGGGCTATATTAGTCCATGATATCGATAGTTTCGGTATTTTGATCATTGTATCCAAATTTTTCAATGAAATTGTCAAAAAATCCACAAAAGTAGTTCCTTCTGAGTACTTTACCCCCTGGAAGAGTATTGTCTATATAGATTCACGATGTCGAATATCCCCCATATAACGGTACCCCCAGATATTCGGTATTTTAATGATTTTAACTACATTTTTTAATGGAATTGTCTAAAAATCCATACTAGAAGTTCTTTCTACTTCTGGAAGAGTATTATTTATATACGTCCATGATATCGTATAGCCCACATACGACGCTACCCCCGATATTCGGTATTTTGATGATTTTAGGGACGTTATTAACCGGAATTGTTTCAATTTTTGTATTTAGAATTCCTAATGGGTGCTACAGCCTATGACAAAAATAGCGTATGCTGGCCCACGTCTTTGTATAGCCTCCATATAACGGTACCTTGCAATATTCGGTATTTTCATGATTTTAGGTACAATATTCAACGAAATTGTTTGAAATTTCGTATTTGAAGTTCCTAATACCCACTACCAGGTTAGGCACCACCAGGTCTTTGTATAGCCCCGATATAACGATATATTAAGTTTCGCATTTGAATCGTGTGTGTGTAAGTCGCTTAAAAAAGTCGAGTATCATTGTAAGTGGAGCTGAATTAAGTCCTTCGTTTTCACATAAAAAACATATGTTTCGCTTTCTTAATATCAAAAACAAAAAATAATTAATTCATCGTCCCCAGCTTACCTTTTTGTTTTGTATCATCACCGTTTTCCAATTGATGGCTAACGACCAAATTATTCTGCAATTGCAGCAGACCGCTGCCGCAAGTGCCTGAGCTGGTAATGTTTTTCATGCGTGATTTTGATTATTGAAACAACAACAAGAACAAATTCAAAACTTGACAATATCGAGGAAGGAAAACACTCTACTCAAATGAACTAAATTTAATGGCGCGTATAAATCCAAGAACCAAATTAGACGAATAGCATAGGCGGCAGGGGGCGGGCAGGCAGCACGCGAGTAAAAATGGCAAGAAGTTTGCCGTAGATAAATTTAGGTTTTCTTTATGTTTGTTGATTTTCTGCTAAGCTACTTCGATATTACGACAAACGACAACGCGCGAAGATGACGATGACGACGACAACGACGATTTGCGCTGATGATGGCGACAAAAACGACGATCTCTTCGTTTTGTGTTGTGTGTATTTTTCCTGCGCCTCTCTTCTTCTTGTTATTTTTGTTTTAATATCAGGCGACGGCGGTGGCGGCGTTCGGACGGTTTTTGCTTTGGCTTGTATTCTATGTTAACCATTGGCTGTGATGATGATGATGGTCGGTCGATCTGTCGGTAGGTAGGTATATTTAGATATTGAATATGTATTGTATGTAGATATGTGTGTTTGTTTGTTAAATTTCTAAGAATACACAAGAAATGCTGCTGCTGCGGCGGCTGCTGTATGTTGTTGCTGCTATAAATGAAGTGGCTGTCGGACCAGACCTCAAAGCGTTTTTGTTTTTTTGCTGTTATAATGAAAGGGGTAAGCGTGGAGGGGAGGCCGAACAGCTAATGACGTTCGCCTGCTTGCTGTGCTACTGATAATGATCAGACCAAATGGTTTACTTGTAGATACATGGATCGCGCGGTGTATTCTCCAAGCGTTAATAGCGATGATGAAATCTCGATAAAAATAGGCGCGTTTTATGGGTTTCTTTAGCTTTATAGAATAGATTGGAGTTTGGTGCAATTTTGTTTTTCACTGAGATCACTTAATTTTCTAATTTGGCACTTGCAAGTAACAGCCCCAAACTTCTAACATGGGGGGAGAGAGAGAGAGTGAGTGGCTACTTGATTTATGAATTATTTTTTGTTATGGCAACTTTTGCAATTTTCTTTCTTTTCTTTTGCTTTGCGTTTTATTTCACAATTTCATTATTAATGACTTGCCTACGCCTTTCTTTTTTATTCTTTTCTTTCTTGCTTTCAACTTTGGCAAATGGGTCGGGCAACAACTAACTGACTATTGCTGCTCATTAAGAACCGAACCGAATGAACAGATGTTTCTTCTAGCTACGGAGTGATGGCTACGGAGATTGAGCACTAAAAGGTTAATGATCAGCAACACTTCCATTTGAACTATCGCACTCGCACACTAACACACACACACACACACACGAAAGGGGGGACGGCCGACCCAATGCTGCTTCTTGGCTTGCAGACTTTTCTATTTTCTGTGTGTTTTTCTTTGACGATTTCCTTCTTCTTTCTATGCTCGCTCGCACATTCACTGTATTTTTCGCGCAACTTTTCTTTTTTTTTACACACACTTCACTTTGCTTTTTTTATTTTGGTTTGTTTGTTATTTCTCCCCTTTTTTGTTGTTGTTTTTTGCTAGGGAGAGTCGCCCAGCGAAACAAGAAAAAACCTATAAACCGAACCAGTATCGATCGATCAATAGTAGCGAATAAGAACAAGAAAGAGCGGTTACGTTTTTCTATTTCTTGGAAAATGATTTCATAAACATTTATGGCCACTTTTTTCACTTTTATTGCTCCACAAATTTATTTATTTCAATTTGGATTTTGTTTTGTGTTGGCAGGCTAGCCAGCCAGCCTATAAACCGATTTTAATATTCACTTTTAAATCTTTTTCTTCTTAACTTGGCTCAAAATCAACCACAACAATCTTTCATATTTTTGTTTTCTTGTTTCTTTCACAATCTCCAACAAGATATCCAAGTAAAATCGTATAAGAACTGCAAAAGCCAAGAAAAATAAGACAAAAACAATCCACAAAGAAACGGCGTCACACGATCGCGCAGAATCAAGAGAATGTTAAAGACTAAACGATATGAATGTACAGCAGACTAGATTTGCTGCTGGTCCCCACTATAATACTCAGCCCAGCAACAACAACAACACAACCATTAGCGCACAACAAAAGCAACAGCAGTAACAAAGCTCCCCATTCACAAAACAATACCAGTCACTGTCTGGCGGGGGGAGAATATAGCAGTACCAAAACAACACAGCGACAGAGAGAGCGAGAGCGAGAGAGGGAGTACTGTGCCTCCGCATTTTGTATGTATACCAGAAGTTGTGTGTGTTGCTTTGTATAAACAGTGAATAGGAAAATCCCATTATTAAAAATATGCTCTTTTCGTGCTCTCTCTCTCTCTCTCATTGGCCCAACAAGTCTCCAAACAACTACTTGGCTCTTTTCATCGACAAATCTATCCCCAATCAGTGTTGCCAACATTTTTTGAGCTAGAAGCGTAATTAAAAACAAGAAAAGCGTAAATAGCGTAAAAACTTTTCTTAAAAAAGCGTAAAAAGGGCTTTGTATTTTTTTCTAAACAAAATGCCAAAATTGTCAATAAAGCACTCCTTTTAAACTAAATACTGTTTTATTCAAAATTTAGATCGTATCTCATGTAAACATTTTTGTATATTAGTCATACATATTTTTAAAAAATATGATATATTTGGAACAATTTACATGTGGTTATAATTTACATACATATGCATTTTTACAAACAATTATGTTCCCCTATAAAACCCAAAGCTTCAAATGTAGTTGAAATGTCTGCATCAGTTTCTTCATTTTGCCATAAGACAGTTTGTAAAAAATAGTTTTACTTTTTGTAAACTCCCTGTGTAGAATTTTTTTACAGACATTTGACGGCAGGTCGTATTAGTTCCAGCATGTATTCCCTCGACGAAGGCCATATTTAATATGTAAAATAGAATTTACAGAATTTAAGGATAATCTGTTTCTGATTTTCGATTTATATAAATTCATAGCACTGAATGCTCTTTCTACTTCTGCATTTGAGTATGGGAAGCTTTACAGTCTTATAACGAATTCTGATAAATCTTGAAAGGGATTTTGTCCTATGGAATCTTTGAACGCATTTACTTCTATCCAGATCTATATATTATCAATACTAAGTTCCATATTAGAAATGACATCGGCGTTTTTTTTTCTCTCGTTCATTTTACTTTTCCTTCAAATGGTTTATAATACACAAAATGCTTCGTTTTATTATGGTTTATTAAAAAAGAGTTACATGTAAACAAAAGAACTTCAATGACAGGAGTGAAAGACGAATTTGCAATAAAGAACTTGCCATACTATCAAAATATTCGAATGTATAAACATTGCCACATTTTAAAATCTAAAACCCGCTAAAAGCACCAATAGAAAAGATAAAAAGCGTACATACAGTGCTTTTTCGTTTCGCGCTAGGCCCACTATTTTGGCGTTTTGGGGGGTCTAAAAAGCACCATAATAGCGCGAAAAGCACTAATTTGGCATCTCTGTCCCCAATCAATGTGGCTAACATTGCAGTGGACAAAAAACGCGGGAAATAAAAACATGAAATAAAATACACACGAGGAGACTGTGTTGAGCTTAAAAAACTTTTACAAAAAGTTTACTATAAGGAAAGTGAGAATAAATATAAGTTTACAGTACTGATGGTGAACCCATTGGATTTAATAAATCTTGTCGGTTAACCCAGTGTGTTTAACTCTTCAACATACATAGTATGTAGGGCATATTAATTTTGTCATTCCGTTTTTAACTCATTGAAATTATGATTCTAGGCCCATTTTAAGCATCTGACTAAAAATTGAGTAAATAGGTGCATTATTACCTATAACACCCATATAACGGTACCGCCAGTTATTCAAAATTTTAGAGATTGTAGCCATATTTTTCAGTGTAATTGTCTCAAATCCTGAACATGAAGTAATTTCAGGTACTTCAGTCTCTGAAAAAGACTGGTCTATAAAAATCCACGATATCGTATAGCCAGAATATAACGGTTGCTCTCTTTGTTTGGTATTTTAAATCATTTTAGTCAAAATTTTCAATGGATGTTTTTTTTTTTTGGAATCCCATATGTGGAGTTCTTAATAGTTACTTTTGACTCTCACAAAAAATTGTTTAAATAGGCCTTACAATTGCATAAAGCCCCCCTATATAAAATTAAAATGAATTTAGTCAGATAATTCATTGGTATGCTAATCTCCCATTTCGTCAGCCTCCCCATCTCAAAATATAACAGAAAGACAGCCGCTAATTTTTATTATCTAAAAAACTCACAGTTCATTATTCCCAATTCTCTCTCAACCTACAACCTCAAATAAATTCATACCCTTTTAATGTTAGGGCAGAAAGGACATATGTGAGAAATCCTTTCTGCTACACTAACATCAGAAGCTATGTAGCTCGAGTCCAGGAAATAAGACTAAATTTCCCAGCAGAGTTAGCGGAATTTGCAAATGAGTGTGATGAGCACCTGCAGAGGACCTTCGCTAAAAGAGACAGCCATCTGAAGTGTTGCAACATTAGGAAAACTGTGGTAACGGTTAAATTACTCTCGAACCCAGGGAAAAAGGACGAGCGCTGACGGTGACTGATCCGAAGAGGTGCGCCGGTTATTTTGGCCGCTTATTTGCCGAGCACCCCGAGAGTGATAGCGCGAAATGAATAGTACTACCCCGCCGTTTAGCGATGTCTCAAACGTCAGCTGTAGCCCTAAGAAATCTAAAGTGTTGGGTCCGGGAGTCGAGTAAATCACTAAAATCCTCAACCTGCCGTTAGCCATCCACATCGTTTCCGAAACCTGGAATATCGACTGAATAGTTCCGCTATTGAAGCAAGGCAAAAATGCCTGCAAAGACTAGGAATACATACCGATTTATGTTTTTTCACCTGTAGTAAATACTCTTGAGACTTAGCTACTCTCCAGATTTGGAGAAAAGCTATCCAGCTCCTGATCATCAGCTTGGTTTCCATCAACAACACAAGAGCTTTACACACCATATCCACATATTTGTAACAGGACTCTACCAGAACAGGCCGTTTCATAGAACAGTAGTATTGACCAAACCAAAGGTCTTTAATACAGTCAATCACGCCACGCAATTCGAGGACGTTAGAAATACTACCCTTCGCACAGGTTTGAAACTTTGGATAATATACCATATTTGTGAACGCCAGTCATATGGCGAATTCCGAACAAGAAATGTAAACCCCATATATTAAAACAGGGGGTCACATTCAACAGCATGTTCAAGTCGTCCGTGCAAGCCTAGCTCTCTGTGATGAATTGAAAAAGGAGACTTTGTCCTCTTATAAATCGAAAGGTTACTCTGTGATATAAGGCTTCAGTGTAGTCGGCGAAGAATTTAGCAACCCAATGGCAATTATTTAGACATGCCAGATTGTCGCTCTGAGAACTGCAACAGGGTGTCTCCTCACGACAATTGTCGACCATCTGAATGAGAAAGAGATGGTCTTATAATAAAATGCCCTCGGTACAATACCAACCTGCAACTTCAAGCCTATCTACACAGGACTATGAACGAATATTACTCGCAGAATTCCCGAGCATTTGTTCGGGAATCGGCACTCAGCAAAAAAAAAAAATAATCAGAATTTGAGCGTATCGAATTAAACATCAAATATTGAACTCCTTATTATCTCCGAAGTCTGTTCGAATTTAAATCCTACGAGGTCCGAATAAATGGCTTAAAACTCGATTAGTGTAAAGGTGTAGTTGGTCATTATGGCAACCCGATTGTTGTAACTTTTACAACAACAATCGTTGATGTGAGAACAAAATCTGACGGTTGAAGAAGTGGTTTACTTTTTATAACAAACGTTCCAATTCATTCAATTATAATCTGAAAACCCGTAAGACTTCTGTAGTATATGATCAGAATTTTAAAGGTGCGAATGGAGTTATTGCTGGAATGGCTTGTTGTTCTTCGACATTTATTCTGGTTACTAGAATGACACATTACCATATATTCCAAGTCGATGAATATATAAATCACCACAACTAATGGGATATTCATTGAGTTGACATCATTGATTCCCCAAACATCTAAAATACCCAACAGCTAGCAACATAACAACACAAACAACAAGAGCCAAAGCAGGTGTTAAATGAGGCGGTTTAACAAGTTTTTTCTATTGTTTGTTACACTTGTTGTTGTTGCTGCTGCTGAATATTATGAATATGACTCTCCCCAAAAGTGTAGAATTGCTCCCAAACAAACACACACACACACACAAAATATGATCATCTCCACAATTTATTTTTTTCAAAATTTCTCATTCTACAGTTGCTTTGTTTGCATTATTTGCTGCTTTTAATGTTTTTTTTCGATTTCTTGTTTATACATTTTTTCTTTTTGCTTTGTTATGGTATGGGTATGCCTGGCATTTATATTGGAATGTAGAATATTCGACTTGGACTTCTGTTGTGTGTATCGCATTTATTATTATTATTATGCTCTCGCCTATGAGTAATGGGCTACCACAATAAGAGAGTACTAGCAAGAGAAACCACAAGTGAGACAGCCAGATAGAGAAAGAGAGCGCCCACAGCCCGCCAAATAACATCACAGACACCGTCACGTCTAACAGTATTGTGCAGGCCACCGTTTAACAGAAATATTTTAAATATTTTTGTTATGAGTTGTTACCAGTTGGGGGAATACTTCGAGAAGTCTGTTATTTAACAGAGTTCGCTGTTTAACAGTCTTGTGTGATTGCTGCTGCCGCTGTTGCTGCTATAGTAAGTGATCTCTGTTTGCGTGATTCTTTTTTTTTAGACTGGGGCTTATTTGTTAACATTGTGCAATCAAATTTGGTTAGATATAAATTATGTGGAGGCTAATGAATAACTAAGATGTTGTTTACACGTAGAGAACATACTAAATTCTAATTAGAATCGAGGAAATAACTAGGAAACACACTTTCTAATTAGATTTTTTGACGAAATACTATCGAAAAATGGCAAACCCATAAAATATATGGAAACAAGTTAAAAAGTTATCAGTAGGGCTTTTATCCGTTTATTTAAACACATTTTTGCATCCGTATTTATTATTCATCAAGTTGAGCCTTTATGGGGAATGTTCCGAAGGAGTTGGCTAATATTGTCCAACTCCTCTCTGAAATATGTCTGATATAGATATTACAACGTGTCATATTTGGACTATATCACTTGATATGTGATAATTTTTAAACAATATTGAAATGTGCGTAGATCGAAGTATTCCACTTCATCTAATACTGAAAAAAAGAAAATCGAACATTTCTTTTCAATTTTATGAGAATAATTAAGCTATTAAGTTTTTGTGGGGGAGGAGGTATC